TACCCGTAGCCTCGAAACATTAAGATACGGCAGCAGCACATGCGTAGTGTGACTGGCTCGTAGTACCCGTAGCCTCGAAACATTAAGATACGGCAGCAGCACATGCGTAGTGTGACTGGCTCGTAGTACCCGTAGCCTCGAAACATTAAGATACGGCAGCAGCACATGCGTAGTGTGACTGGCTACTGTACCCGTAGCCTCTGCGAAAATAAAACACGAAGCGAGGTGTGCGTTTTAATAATGCTTAGATGCGCGTTTTTTCGCACTTCTCCTGATTAATCAAGGCGCGCGAGCGCGATCGCGCACCTTAAAACACAAGGACTGGAACTTGTAACACACACATCGAGCAAACCACTTACTTGGTTTCTTCAGCCGATACCCATGCACGCATAATGAATATTGTCTGAGAATAATGTGAATAGTGAATGTTTAATTGTCAATAAGAATTGCATACAGAAAATTTATCGGGATGATCATAACCAAAATAACTAATCGCATAAGGAATTACATGATTTTCTGCAATAGATAATTTCAAGAACCTAATAATAACCTATTATAGGATTTATTATAATAGAATAATAACCTAACTTAATACGCTCTTGATAATTTCGATAATATTATGTATTTAGAGGGTAGTTCGTATTTGCATCCTATTTTATAATCTACTGAGTCGATTATCTTAATCGGTACGTATTAATCCAGATCGTCAAGCCGAGTTACGAATGATACAGTGAGTGAAATATGTGCACTACTTAGTGCAGACAGCACAGGTGATCTCCCGTCCATTCACGTAGTTTGGACATGGCAGTGACCCGCATCTAGCCTCCACGGGGAACCACAGACCTCCGTCCTCGTTTCCATCTCCCGACGAATTCACCTCTGGATCCTCATCCACGCACACGAAGGTTGACCGACCCTTGTGGTTGTTGTGCGACGACATGAGGTAGCTGGCGCATGCAAGGGGGAATATTAGGATTATCCATTGCAGTGAATATCGCAATATTTTATGCAGTTGCTATAAGCAAGTAAATGTGAACATCTGCTATTTCGGCGCGGTAGTAAACAACACTAGCAGCAACATTCACGCTGCCGTCACCTTTATCGCTACCAGGTACGAACTTGCAATTTGTCGCAAGCGAGACATAACACGTGTATTCGGGTATAGCAATATGTTAATTTATTGATTACTTGTCTAGTCTGTCCATACCGATCAGTCTATTGTCATGTATTTTTAATAGTGACAATATTGAGCTCTTGATAATATTATTATTAGTAGTATACTCGAATCTTCCATACCCATGGTATTCTAGTGACCAACTCGGAGGGCATGTGTTCCAGGCAGGGATCATTTGTTCGCTGGCACGATCGGGTACACGGCACACTGCGCACACAGCGTTCTGATCCCCTAACTGCTTGCCTGATAGATGACTCGACAGGAACGGGTTGAATTCATTGACTTCGTATTCCACTCCAAACCTAACGTGATTGAAGATTTGACGCATCACATCCATACTACATTTAACCCGTCCTACGTCGTCCTACTTTTCGAACCCGAATAAATGGCTTTAATGCTCGTGTTGCTCGCGCGTCGCTCGCCTTCAGCTCATATTTAAGCCCCTACTTCCGTGACTTAATCACTCCTAACATTCATAAAAACAAGTAATTCATGTCCCGAACATCATTCGTCCAATCAGAACTAAAACAAACGCTGTTAGACTACATGTATATTGACCGACTGCCGGGCTCCATCTTGCGCACCGTGCCCCACTGGGGGCTGAGGCAGACAATTGTATTCCCCACCTCCACCGTGGTGATCTGCTACGTAGAGCACGTGCCTGCCACGCCTAATCGGATGCCATTAACAGTATCGCAGTCATTTCCCATCATCAATTTTTATATATTGTACCGCCTGATTGGAAGGAACTGCAGTTCCTACGGAACGCGTGTCAATAAAGACCGTTGTTTGCACTATTCCTCGGGGCAAAATTGCATTTTCTCGTGGCTTCGTCGGTAATAACAATCGGAGGGTACGCGTGTTTCCCAATTAAACTGCATGTTGTGGCGAGAGGTCTGGAATGAGGGGTTCACCCAATGACCGGACATGATGCACTTGCACTAGTTAATGATCCTTTACCCTTTATTCGGATAACTTATCGTTCCTAAGAAATCTACCAGGATTGCCTCGCTTCCATCATCACTAGCAGGATGAGCCCTGCAATAATTTGTTGATATAATAATAATACCCGTTATAAGACGAGTTCTGCACCACGTCTGCAAGTGCGCTTTCTTCCGCCATCTCACGACATGGCTCCACCACTGCGTTGCGTCTGGCCGCGATCTATATGGCTATAATTACATTTACATAACACAATTATAAAGCCCAAATCTGCTTTTTAATTTCTTGCTCTCTTAATTCGTATTCATTTTCATGAGTTATTCCGTTTACATTCACGACAGATCAATATACATTGAATCAGTTTTAATATAGTCAGTAATATATTAGTATGCACCATCGTATTACATTGTAATATACAAACCATAAGAACAATCAAAAACACTTGCTATTCATTTAAAAAGTCGGTGTCTCGCGTAATTCTGGATTGGGGATATTAGCCAAGTTTAACTACTATATTAACTTACACTTGTATATTTATATAACTATATTTCTGTCACAAATTGAACGGAAAAGGGAAAATACATTAAACTATTAACCACAGCGCCTGTTCATGTAATATATCTTGTTACAAAAGTTTAAACTGCGCAGCGCACTCCCAATTGTCACATTGACACGATATAACTCCTACTTACACCAGCTTAAGAATATTTGCGTCCTCCTACGCCGCTGACATACATTGTCGATATTCCGTCTCATTCTCCTTCGTCACTATTTGTGTGCCCGACTCCCTCTCTTCCCTGAGCGACGCGGACGCCGTCTCATACTGACCCTTACGATTGTACGCATATATCAGGATATTCTTGCTTGCAGGCCAATACAGTCAGGTCCTAAAATCCATCACGCAGTAGCAACGGACAGCAACATAGGCGCTGTTACATATCGATGGATAAACGCCAGCAGGAGCTATATTTACTCTCCGAGCCCTTGTTGGCTCGCCAGCTCATCCCCGTCACGCCGCCATCTCTCCCAGCTCCCCGCACGGCCATTTCTTCCTTGCTTCCCCCCGTCACGGCCATCTCCCCACTTCCCCGTCCACGGCCATGTCTCCCCGCCTCCCCGCTACCGTCCCTGCCGTCACGCCTGCTCGCGGGTACAGACGACCTCTGCAACAGACTCTATGAAGAGACGTGATGAGTTAGAGACCTTGCTAAGCAGGGTGTATTAGTCCGAACCCATGAAATCACGCCTCTGCCGTCCTCTCTCTCTCTCTCTCTCCTCTCTCTCGTCCTCTCTGCTCTCTCTCTTTCTCTCTCTCTCTGCTCTGCTCTCCTCTTCCTCTCTCTCTCTCTGTCTTCGTCTGCTGTCTCTCTCCTCTCTCTCCTTCTCTCTCTCCTCTCTCTCTCTCTCTCTCTCGCCGCCTTCCGCTCTCCGCTATTTATTTGTCAACATAAAATTTAAACAATAAGTAAAAGATTATAGCATTCTATTTCATAAAGTATATGTCTTCCTGTCCCTCTACTCAACTCACACGCGAAGAGTCATTCACCCGAGCTATCAAGATCCGCCCACCATCGACTGCCCTTTCACAGTCTCCACCATCTTTTCATTAGGGATCAGACACTCCAAACATGGCAGAATCCACATTTTTCACGATACCGCCGCCATCTGATGTTCTAAAAAAAAGAATATATATAATATATTATACTATATACATATATATTATCATATATAATTATGATATACCGGTATGTGTGTGTGTGTGCATGTGTATGGTGGTGTGGCGTGTTTATGTGGTGCGTGTGTAAGTGTGCGTGGTGTGTGTGTGTGTGTGGTTGGTGTGGTTGTGTGTGTATGTTGTGATTGTGTCGTGTGGTGTGAGAGAAAGACAGAGCGATCGAGAGAGAGAGAGAGAGAGAAGAGAGAGAGAGAGAGTCAGTGGTGTGTGTGTGGTGTTGTGTGTGTGTGTCTGGTCACGTGTGTGATAGTTAGTGTCGATGCTGTTTGTGCGTTTGTGTGTGGCGTTTGGAGAGAGAGAGATACGAGAGTGTGTGTGTAGGCTGTGTGTTGTGCGTGTTTGTGTATGTGTGTGTGTGTGTGTGCGTGTGTCGTGCTTGCGTGCGTGCGTGAGTGGCGGCATGCGTCCTCGTACGTCACTATATTTGTGTTGTGTGTGTGTGCGTGTGCGTGTGCGTGTGCGTGTTGTGGTTTTGTGCGTTGTGCGTGCAGTGTGCGTCGCGTAGTGCGTGATGCTGCGTGCATTGCGTGCTCGTCACGTCCAATATTATAGTGGTGCGTACTGTCGTGCCTGCGTGTGTGCTTGTGTAAGTTGTGGTCGTGCTGTGTGCGTGTGTGTGTGCTTGTGCGTGTGTCTGAGTGTGTTATGTGTGTGTCGGTTGTGTGTGTCGTGCGTGCTGCGTGTGTGTGCGTGTCGCATTGAGTTGTCGCCGTACATCGTGCTGGAACCGTCAATAATATGTGTTTCTGTGCGATTCGTGCCGTGTGTAGTGTGTTTGGTTGTGTGTATGCGTGCGTGGTGTGTTGTGCTGCTGTGTGTGCTGCTGGGCGTGAGTGTGCGTGTGGTGTGTCGTGTGCGTGCGTGTGCGTGCATGCGGCTCGCTACGTCAATATATGTGATGATGGCCTGTCGTGTGCGTGTGTGTGTGTGTGTGTGTGTGTGTGCCGTGTGTATCGTGTGTGTGTTGTGTGCTGTGTGCGTGCGCTGTGCGTGGTGTGTGTGTGTGTGCGTCTGCGTGTGCGCAGAGTGTACCGTGTTAGCTGTGCGTGTGCGTGTTGCGTGTCGTGTGCGCTGTGCGTCGTGTGTGTGTGTGTGTGACGGTGTGTGTCTGTGCGTGTGCTGTAGTCTGCGTGCAATGCGTGCGCTACGTCAATAATACTATGTGTGTGGCGTGTTCGTCTGTGTGTGATGTATGTGTGTGGTGGTGTGTGTGCGTGGTGTGTGCGTGTGTGTCGTGTGTGCATGCTGCGTGTTGCGTGGCGTGTGTCGTTGCGTGGTGTACTGTGTGTGTGCTGTGTTGTGTGGATGTGTTGCGCGGTATGTGTCGTGTGCCGTCCGTTGCGTGCGTGGTCGTGCGTGTGGCGTGAGTGTGCGTGCATGCTGCTCGTACGTCAATATCACTGTGTGTGCGTGTGCGTCGTGTGCTGTGTATTGTGGTGTGGTGTTGTGCGTGTGTCTGTGTGTGTGATGTGTGTGTGTAGTGTGTCGTGTGCGTGTGCCGAGTGTTGCGTGTGCTGTGCGGTGTGCTGTGCGTGCGTGCTGCGCTGTGGCTGTAGTGTGTGTGCGTCGTGCGTGAAGTGTGGCGTGCAATGCGTGCTCGTACGTCAATATAATGTGTGTGCGTGTGCGTTGTGGTGTGTATGATGTGTTGCGTGTGCGTGAGGTGCCGTACATGCGTGCTCGTAGCGTCAATATATGGTGTGTGCGTAGTGTGAGCGTGCGCGCGTATAAGTGGACAAGTACTGTGTGGTAGTGTAACAAAGGAAATATTCCGGCAAATACGTCTACGAGTTGTAGCGCCTACCATCCTAATCAAGTTCATGCTTGCTGTTGCTTTCCACCTGCTTCTGTACCGGTGAACAGTTTCCATCAAGTTGAATATCCACCTCTTGCTAACGCTCATCCGGCATTGATGTTCTAATAAGAATAATATACTATATAAGTATACATAATATATTATAACTATATATATATAGGTATGTGTGTGTGCGTGTGTAGTGTGCGCGTGTGTGTTTGTTGTGTGTGTGTGTGTGTGTCTGTGTGTGTGTGTTGTGTGTGGCTGCGTTAGTGTGTGTGTGAAGAAAGTTAGAGAGAAGAGAGAGTGGTGTCGTGTTTGTGTGTGTGTGTGCGTGTTGTGTGCTGTCGTTGGTGTGGCGGTGTCGAGGTGTGCGTGTTAGTGTGAGTGGCTCATTGCGAGTGCTCGTACGTCAATCATCTGTGTGTGCGTGTGCGTGTCGTGATGTGTATGTGTTGTGTGTGTGTGCGTGTGTGTGCGTGTGTGTGAATGCGTGCGTGTGCTGGTGTTGTTGCTGTGTCGTATGTTTGTGCGTGTGGCGGTTGTTGCCGTGTGCGTCGGCGTGGATGTGTGGAGTGTGCGTGCATGGCGTGCTCGTACGTCAATATATGTGTGTGCCAGTGTGACGTGTCGTGTGGTGTGTGTGTGTGTGCGTGTGTTGTGTGTGTGTGGTGTGGTGCTGTGTGTGTGTGTGCTGTCGTAGTGCGGGGCGCGAGTGTCGCTGTGCGTGTGGCTGCCGTGTGCGTCGTGTGTGTTGCGTGTGCGTGAGTGGGTGCATGCGTGCTCGTACGTCAATATGATGTGTTGGCGTGTGTGTGTGTATGTGTGTGTCGTGCCGTGTGCGTGAGTTTGCGTAACCATGCGTGCTCGTCACTCAATATATGTGTTGCGCTGTGCTGTGGTGCAGCGCCGTATATAGGTTGGGACAGCTACGTGTGTAGTGTAAAAGGATTATATCCGGCAATAATTACGTACGAGTTGCTATAGGCGCGGCTATCATCCTACAAGTTCTGCTTGCTGCTGGCCACCTGCCTTTCGTAAACTGGTAACAGTTCTCCATGCCAATTTGATATCCCCTCTTGATAACCCTCTCGCCAGCATATCTCATAATATATCATTACAATACCACTCTTAAAATTGAAAGAAAAAACAAACTGAGTCAGCACAGAAATACTTCTAATTTTGACGCTTTTGATCGTCACAGACAGTTAAACTGCATTCCAGTGGATTTACCATTGATTTTATCTGTATATTATTTTTCAATAAATTATTAGTTGTATCTATTAATATTTGATACATATAATAATAATAATTTATATATTAATTTATATGTGACAATTTGCAATAATACATAAATACATCAATCTGCTGCATAGATTTCATATATGATCATTAATCATAATTAATATACTGACAATGATAGAATAATTCTTACATACATAATAGTTACATTATATTCGCAATATGAACGACTTTATACCTACCGGCATGAATACACAGTCGCAGTATGTGGCCGACATCACAGAGCTAAGAGGACGCACGCACATACGGCCAACAAACGTGAACACCTCCTTCCCGCGGTGACCACTGTCATTTTTCTAGCCATTTCCCAATCGTCGTCCGAAGAGTGGCCGCGTCTTCTAAAACAGGGAGACCATAACTTTTTATGTTCAGGCCATAATTATAATTATAATCATATATGAATGGATATTGGGTATAAGGCGGATATTTTTGCCTTCATTCCAGATCGCGAATAACGTAAATTTTATACCACGGCAACACAATTGATCAACATGCGTGATCACTGTTTGATACATGAGTCCGTATATTTATGTTCTTTAATATCTGCGAAAATATCGAATAATACGATCTTTACTAACAAAAATATATATTTCATCGAACATTTCTCAAGTTTGAGAGCTAGCTGCAGCTAATCAAAACTAAACGTGTAATAGATATTATCCAGAGACTAATAAATACCTTGATCATCAATAATAATACTTGGATATTATCTTATAACACCTTACTAACATCAGATTAGCACGTGCAGAAAGCATGAGTGTAAAACTAAATAACCCTCTATAGTCGTTTATAACCGTAACTACTTCCATACTTATTCATTATTATAAACGCGTCGCGCACGAACAGACAGCTTTACGACAGACGGACGACACCTCTACATATATTAAATATTGATTGAGTTTGGATATATGAACAACTGACGGTAAGAAATCTGTAGTGAAGCAGATTCCGATATAAATAAGTGATTAAGAATATAGACCGCGCGTCCTAGTGGCGACAGCGAATAAAGCAAGGACCTACTTAAGATGCAGATTAGCGAAAGGCAAGGTAGGCTTGCACGCAGATTGGCCTCGTAAAAGAGCGATTACTCGGCAGTTACGGGTACGCTCAGGTACGTAGGCCCGGTGAGACAAAACACCACTCCCCCCCCCCTATCGAAAGGTAGCGAGAATGGTCGATGACCGGTACGGTCAAAAGGCGTTGCTAAACTTTACGCACATCACATTGATGAAAAAGTAAGGATAAATACAGCCGCTTTTGGAACAGAAAGTTAGATCCAGTCGCTTGACTACGATGTGAGTATAGTTTGATCATAGTATTGTCTTGTGTGCATATGTGTTGTTAAAACTCGTTTGATAGTTATATGGTAAACTCTTTTGCATCCTATGTATTCTATGTTCTCTACGTTAACCGTTATTGATAGACGTAACGCAGGTTACGGATTGTATTTGTGTGGTAAACGTCATTGAACGATAGTACGTGAGGGAAACCTCTATTTGAGTACTAAGTGTATACGTAACTAACTTACGCAGAGAAGCGTGGATACGAGCTATCGTTACTAACACGACGACCATTTATTGTAACTGTAGTTTTGGTGATCAAGAAATAGAACCATTTGTTGTACGTTAACCTCTGTGTTTATCATACGTTCTTCTGTGTCTGTCTATTAAAACGTGCTCACCTCAGGGTACTCAGTGCCCGTACTATAGCAGAACCTGGGTATATCGATACGAGCCTCATTACAACTGGTGCCGTGTTAACAGAAGCTTGGTAAGGTAGCATAGTTGGTAGACAGATACAGTTTGTTTCTAA